CGTGACGCCAAACTACTACCTGCGTTAATTCTGCGCGTTCGGCTGCACCAGCAGGCAAGCAGCTAGTCTGGCCCCTACCTCAACGAATCAAAGATACATGATCTATAGGGTGAAGCTTGTGTTAAAAATGAAGCGTGTTAGAAAACCATTTCTTCAGAAGCACGGATTGCCCCTATCGATCCAGTGAACTTTTGCAGGAGTGATATCCGTTGTTTAGGGTGCTGAATCAAAAAGATAAGCAGAAATTATATCCACAGTGTTTCTCTCTGCGCAGGTTTTGAATCAAAGTAATTAAAATTTTCTGCATTTTTTTACATCTCCCCATAAAGAGTAAGACAAAAGATGTGAGAGGCAGCGAAGGAAGTACCAGCCGAACCTACTGACAATGAGTAGCGGCAGAGAGCGGCTGGTTATTCCCTATCCTGCATCCTCTTTTCCTCAGATAAAGTATACTCACTTCCTCATTAACCTCTGCAAAAGGTGAAGTCCACTGATGTGTACCCGCACATCCAATCTGTTCTTTTACTTCCGAATTTTTTCTTTTTTTTTTGCGGGTGAGAAGGGGTTGTGTTGTTCATCCTATACATCAGGGGTCTGTGCAGGTCTTTGCACGTCTCATGTGCAGTCAATGCTTCATCTGAGCGGTCCATTTTAGATGATGATGCTATGATGATGAATTATTCACCAAAACTTATAGAACACCTATGGACGAGCGACTTAAATATCGTTTGAATCAGTTTTTGTCTTCTCTTGAAAGTTTCGTTTGCTTTGCGATCTGCGTCTTTGTGATGTTAATGCAATAATCTCCAAGCATGGATAAGTAGTTTATTGTGGATCATTTTTTTGAGTTTGAAAGCCAATCCTGAACATAGGTGGATGCATGTGCTCCAGTGGTGTCAAATGAAAGTCCGTAAGTGTTGATACAGAGCCTATAACGGCTGGTGATTAGATGATCTTTTTGAAAAATACAAATTTGGCGCTAGAGGGCGTGCTTATGCTATTTAGCAGATTGGTGCCTCAATCTTTCCCTATCCCCACATTTCCTCTCTATTATAAATAGCATCCAATAAATCTACACAAGAATGTTATGTGCTATGTACATTCACATCAGGCTAAGGTCCACCCGAATCCAGACTTAAAGTATGAAAAAGTGATTCAAAAATTTATGGACCAAAATATCGCGTGAAGGAACTAAGAGTGTGTGTAATGAGCTCAAAATATCATAACAATATTGCAAATGAATCAGTTCAGTTATCACCAAAAATGTTAGGATTCTTCTCGAGATGATCACGGAAGCAATCGCGAATAGCATCAAAATTTTGAAGGCAGACCAGATGGTTGAGGTAGTCGGCTGGTACTGCATGTGAACTTTCACAGTACTGCATGCATAATGGTAGAACATTCCTAGAAATAATTTGTTCAACGGCCTTGTTCTTCCAGAAACGAAATTATCTCACAACTTACTTTTTTCTGCAACATTCCATGTGATCATGTCGAGATGAGGCACAATCCCACATCAGTTTCACAGTATCCTGTCGGGGTGAGCACATATTGAGGAAATGGATCATCTGGAAATTTTCGGTCAAAAAAGAGGTACATAGTCAATGACGATGATGGTCCTAAAGTGTGCAATTTTGCCTGGCCAAATAATTTTGATACTCGGTTACTATATACATATATCTTCTTTACTCAAACTCCTTACTCCCTTTCAAGTAGTTTTTCCAGTGCGGACAACTTTCTCAGTCAAAAGTTATAGCTAGCTCAAAAAACTGATATTTCTCTACATGTTCTGCACAGCTTTTTCGATGTAAAGAGAGTTTCAGACTGCGTAGTATTACATAGTATTATGGTAGCAAGCCATTTGCCCATATTTGTCTGATTTTTTGCGTATTGGGTTACAAACAAAATT